CTTTACCCGTTTATTCCATTTTGGGACACGGGGGTCGCTGGTGCCCATGTCCAGCAATCACTGTGCAAGGGGCGGGGTACACCCTGGACGGGTCGCAAGTCCATCACAGGAACACATAGAGACAAACGAGACAAACAACCATTCACTCTCCCACTCACACCTAGGGACAATTTAGAGTTACCAGTCAGCCTAACATGCATGTTTTTGGACTGTGGGAGGAAACCGGAGCACCCGGAGAAAACCCACACATGCACGGAGAGAACATGCAATTAGAGATTCATGAGTTTAACAGTCTTCTGTGCAGCCTTCACCACTTTCTGCAAAGCTTTTCTTTCTGCAGCTGTGCAGCCTCCGTGCCACACGTTGATGCTGGAGCACAGGATGCTCTCCACTGCACACCTGTAGAAGGAGGTGAGGACTGAGCTTCCCAGACCAGCTCGTCTCAGCCGTCTGAGTAAGTAGAGTCTCTGATGAGCTTTCTTGATCAGGCTGGTGGTGTTGTTGCTCCAGCTGAGGTTGTCATTCAGGTGCACACCCAAGTATTTCTAGTACTTGGAGCTGGAGACCACTTCCACCGCAGATCCTCCTATGTTCGTGGGGTGTAGGTGTGTTGGTTTCTTCTGAAGTCCATGACCACTTATAACTTAAACATTTAAGGAGGAAACATTTTTTTAAATCATGTTATAAATGTTATATTTGGTGCCAGTTTTTGTTTTCCAAATATATGAGTGTGTGTGAATGACAGGCATAAACATAAAACACTTTGTAGAACCATGTTTGATCAAGTTCAGTCCATTTCCTCACTAGTTGACGCGCAGATCTGCCACATTCAATATGGCGGACACACTGACGTGACGCTGCAGCGGGCCGGCCACTCAACGAGGCATCTATGTATATATGTCTGTGCGCGTGTGCTTACATCATGCCACGTTCCTTCTTTCTCGTGAAGTAGCTCGTGCGGACTGCGGAGCTGCACTGCTGCCGCGCGCGGTACTCGAATGGGGCCAGAACGGCAGGTCGGACTGGACTGAAGGTAAGAGGCGGCGGTGGGTTGTGGTCGTTGTTCCGACATGTTGGTGAAATATGTCGGAACATGCTTCAGTTCTCCCGCAGTGGAGTTGTGTCTACATTAACAGGATTGAGTTGTTAAATAGTGACGCGTTTTTCTAGTTATCGCCCGTACTCCATTGTAGTTTTGACCGGGTCTGTGTGTTTGCGTGTCTGTTAGCACAATATCTCATGAACGACTGAACGAATTTGATTGAATCATGGAGAAAGTAATCATCGGATGCACATCAACAATTGATTAACTTTCGGAGTGAACCCATTGAAAATTGCTTCCACAACTGACCTTAATGTCACAAAATTGGCTCTAATTTTAGATATTTACCTAAAGTTGGTGTGGTAGTAGCAGATCCTCAACAGGTTAGAGACGTTCATTCATTGCGTGAGATCTTGCTTTATTTTTGTTTTCCAAGTGGCCTATTAGGAGTCAACAGTGTTAGCAAAATATCTCCACTTGACGGATTTTAATGAAACTTTCATGAAAGAGTTGTTGGATGTATATAAACATGATTAACTTTTAGAGCAAATCAAATTTAAGAAAGCCACACCA